CTTTAAGATTCTTTAAGATTCTTTAAGATTCTTTAAGATTCTTTAAGATTCTTTAAGATTCTTTAAGATTCTTTAAGATTCTTTAAGATTCTTTAAGATTCTTTAAGATTCTTTAAGATTCAAGATTTTTTAAGTATTGCAGGAGGCAGGACAGAGCTGTCACCTATCAGTGAGATTTAAATCATTTTTTGATTTAAATACATTTTTTGATTTAAATACTTTGATTTTAAATCTTTTTTTAAAAAATGATTTTTGATTTATGATTTAAATCTTTTTGAAAAGTATCTTTGATTTTTTATTTAAAAATTAGATTTAAATCTTTTTAAAACGATTTAAATCTTTTTAAAACGATTTAAATCTTTTTAAAACGATTTAAATCTTTTTAAAATGATTTAAATCTTTTTAAAATGATTTAAATCTTTTTATTGATTTAAATCTTTCTGAAATGATTTAAATCTGTAAAATGATGAGATCTTTTTAAAATGATTTAAATTTTCTTAAAGATTTAAATCTTTTAAGATTTAAATCTTTTTAAAACGATTTACATCACCTGATTCGTCAAAATCGTTATCAACCTGTCTATTCCTGAATAATAATCTAGCCAGCATGTCAGTAGGGTTGAATCAGAAATCCGAGAGAAAAAAAAAAGAAAAAGAAAAAATAGTGAAGTTTAACAAATAATTGCAATGACTAAAGATTGTTCTTAAGTATGAAATTTTACAATATTTTTGACCCGATATTTTTTTTTGTTAAGTTGTATTTCTACTTTCCTATCTGTATACAGATATAAGGAAAGTATAGGAATCATGATTTTTTTCGACCTCGAGTTTTCGACGGATTTTTACGTTTTGAGGTCCCCTGAATCCGTTTTGACTATTTTCGCGATGATGTCTGTGTGTGTGTGTGTGTGTGTGTCTGTGTGTGTGTGTGTGTCTGTATAACGCATAACTCATGAACCGATACACGGAAAAACACCAAATTTCAAACTTAAGCTTTGTTCTAACGTCTAATGAGCTGATTAGATTTTGGGCAGAGTCGGAACATCTGGGGGGGTACTTTATGGGTGGTCATTTTTATATTTTATGGAATATATCTGTTATTTACGTTTGGGGAAGAAAATTCTTCAAATGAAAGTTACTTCTTATTTTATTATCTATAATTTTTGTTATATACAAAATTTTCCTAAAATGGTCCGTATTCGCGAAATTTGACAAAATGTAAAAAAATATTTTTTTTTATAAAAATTGTTCAAACAAAAGTTGTTTGTAATATAATTCTCTATAATTTTTATCCTATAAATAATTTCTCTAAAATGGACCGTATTCGAGATATTTGAGAAAATGTGTAAATTTCGAAATTTGAAGAAAACTCAAAAATGGCTAAAGAAAAAAACATTAAATTTTAAACTTAAGTTTTATTTCGGCCTGACGTGAAATGATTAGATTTTGGACAAAGTCGGAACATCTGGGGGGGTACTTTATGGGAGGCCGTTTTTATATTTTATGGAATATATCTGTTATTTATGTTTGAAGAAAAAAATTGTTCAAATAAAAGTTACTTCTAATATTATTATCTATAATTTTTGCTTTATGTAAAAATTTCCTGAAATGGTCCGTATTCGAAAAATTTGACAAAATGTGCAAAATTCTGATTTTTATGAAAATTGTTGAAATAAAAGTAATGGAAAAATTGTAGGAAAAGTGCCAAATTTAAATTTTTCAGTATTTTCATTTTCAATGAATATCTATAGAAAAATGTTTCGCGGTAGATGTATGTGGACAATGTATATATTTAGTTTATCCTCTAAACATTTATAGAGATGCTGCAATAGGTTGTACAAAATAACCGGAAAAAGCCTGTAATACCTAGATAGGAAAGTCATGTGTTGGACACATCAGATTTTTTACACCGCAAGCAGCTGGAAATACTTTTTCATTATCGATATAATCCTGAAACTCTTTACAATATGTATTTTAAATGTTTGCATTAAGACGATTATGACTTTTTGACCAGTTCAATAAACACGCTTGGCATAGATAGAGCGAATTAATTAAATTTTTTTATTTCTTTGCCTGATTCATCCACACATTTTTCAAAACAATTAACCCAAACGCGCTCACTTTGGTTATGTATTTCCTCGCAATAACTTCACGTTGAGAGAAGAACTCTTTTAATTCAACCCACTCAATTTTATTATTCATAGCCAGGAGATTTTGAAAATGAAATGCATTTTTCCGGGAGAGTCTCCTAAGTACAAAAAAAAATATTTTTAAAGAGTGATGTATGTGCATCTATGTGGGGTGTTTATATATGTATGACATTAAGCACGTTAACTCAAGGAAGAGTTGACGGATTTAAGTGATTTTTCAGAAAAAAAAATCACTTTTCTTAAAAACTAGGTCTCCATTGTTTTGTGGCATCATAGGCATACCAAAATTATCTTTTAAAGGGTTGAAAAATTCCTATTTACCAATCGACATGACATTTTTAAATAACAATTTTCATAACTATAGATATCAATGCTGCATAAATCCTTAAAAATTTTATCCTGATCGGCTATTTATTATTTAAAATTAATATTTCCGTAAGAATTGCATTGGACAAATAACGATAAAAAATAAATACGAGAAAAGTTGATCGAGTTTTGCGTTTTATTTATGAAAAAATCACATAACTTAAGTATTCATTATCTTTGGCCTACCGAAAGCATTTGTTAAAGAGTTACCCAAATCTATAAAAATATTTAAATCTTTTGAAAATATTTATTTCGTTTAAAAAGATTTAGATATTTCGAAAAGATTTAAATCTTTCGAAAAGATTTAAATCTTTCCTAAAATGATTTAAATCTTTCGAAAAGATTTAAATCTTTCGAAATGATTTAAATCTTTCCTAAAATGATTTAAATCTTTCGAAATGATTTAAATCTTTCGAAAAGATTTAAATCTTTCAAAAAGATTTAAATCTTTCCTAAAATGATTTAAATTGTAAAAAAGATTTAAATCTAAAAAAGATTTTTGATTTAAATCTTTCTTTTTAAAAAATCGATCTTTGATTTAAATCATTTGTTCAAATGCAAACGATTTATGATCTTTGATTTAAATCGTTTTTAAAATGATCTTAAACAGCTCTGTGCAGGAGCAATCGTGGCAACAAATCACGTACCGTAATGATTTAATCTTTTTTACTTGAAACTATAGGATCAAATCAATAACAATAAATGGCTTAAATAAAGGCAATAACATTTTTTGATTGTACATTGTATTTTATATTTTTCGAAAAGGGTTAACCAAAAATATTGTTCATATCGTCCATAAACGATTTTCCCATCTTCCATAATTTTCGGTGTGAGACGTAGCGGGAAAAGCCTAGTTTTTGGACGTGTAAAGAAATATACTATTCCTATATATAAAAGTAAATGTCGCTATTACTTTTTTTAATAGAAGAAAATATATATTTCCCTGGATATTAAAACCGTATTTTATTTGCGGACCATACATCCCTTTATAGCCGAAATTCCCAGCAAGAAATATTCTTTCCATTTCTTTTTTCTCGTTCTAATAAGTAACTTTAAAATTTGGAGTAGCAAAATAGGAGTTGGGAGTTGTTAAATCGCAACTCATGATGGGAAAAATGGGAAGTTCGCTATTTTATGGATCTTCGTTGCTATAAAACATTTATGCTTTTGTGCATCGCCATTTTTAAAGGATCTATAAGAGCGTTTTTTAATAGCCGTAATATCTAATATTCAGTTTTGAAGTTTACTATAATAGTAAAGTTGATGGATCGCAATAACTATAGTTATTATGACCAGGGCAGTATGGCCTAAGTGAGGAAAAATACATTTATCTTCAACATACAGGGGTTTTCAGAAATAAATGCTTCTACTAAGGTATAGGCTTCAAAATTTTTTTTGTAACCTTAGATGTTTTAAGCTAGACGCAAATCAAAGAGATTTATTAAAAATAGATGTTTTTTACTAAAATGCTGTGATTTGAGATTGAATCTGTCAAAAGGTTTGGAGAAGTCCAGAATCATTGGCTATTGTCCAAAGAATTTTTAATACCTAAAATCGTTTTCTACTATTTTTTAAGCAGAAATACTTTTTAATGGTTATTTAACGAACAAGTATATTAATAAGGGCGATTAATAATCGCCATTTTAATTTACGAGTTCATTACAGAACTTTTTCGTCGACCGTACTGAGCAAAAATAAAGATATCTTATTTTCAATTTTTATTTATAACAGTTTGCTTTTTGTTGTTTTTTTTTAACGATATTGCATTCGCAGTTTCTGCCACTTCTGGTGGAATTAAATTAAACTCTTCGTCAATATCCATCTTTTGATTTTTAACTATACATAGAGTTTTTGAATTTTAAGAAATTAAATAACACACAATGACAGATAGTATTAACAAACCTTCTTGATTTCAAATATATATGTATGTTTGGTTGCCTACACAATAGGTAACTGTCAATATTAATATATAATAAGAGTAATGTAAGTTGGGTTGCATATAATAAAATCGTTGATTAATAGAAAATCATTCATTAATAGGCGTCATTAATCAACGATTTTGAGTGCGTTAAAATACATCACAAATGGTCGGTCTACGGAAAATGATATTTAACACATTATATTTGTTTTTTCGAGTTTTGGCCATTTGTCTTGTTCGCTACATTTGTGCTCTATTTAGCCATTTATTTTTTCCAATTTTAATTATTTTTCATTTCTTTTTGCATTTTAACACTTGAAACAACTAAGTTTTCTATTTTCTATCGATTCTTGTCCGTATATGTTAATTTTACTAGTTTTACAGTAAAATGGTGTTTTTAATTCTTAAAAACGTTTCCTGGTATTTTTTAAACCGAATTACGTCTTTTGAATGATATTAAACACATTTTTTATTTATTTTATTTAGATTTTTCAATAACATTGTTTTCTCGCATTATATAGGTTTTATGATAACAGTTTTATGATAAAATTGATCCAATTGACTTACCCAACGTCCTGTTCAGTCTCTGTTTCTGAGTGGTACCCTGTATCGCTGTGACAGGGACTATGTGGTATTTGCATTAAATCCAGAAGAGCTCCGCATCCTCTGGAAAATGACATCAATACTGTTGCTACGGGAACATCGTCACCTACAGGTTGCAGTCTGTAATAGTTAAAAAAAAACCCTTTAAGCATAAGCATATCGGATTTTCCAATAATGATATAGAGGCGCTTATAAAATTTATATATGGATTAAGTTGTGCTTTTATTGAGTTTTAATAAAGGTAAAGGAATACAATAGGTGTTAGAGAAGAAAAAAACGAAAACAAAAACATATCTCAATAAACGATTTTAGTAAATCAGAGTTTTGGGATTTTATTATACCGACATTTAATCTTACTCATATTGATTCAGTTAAAAAATAAAACTTTTTTAAACATATTTAAAAATAAAAGAAATGAGGCGTATACTGATCTGGGGACTTTGTTTGACACATGTTTGCAGAGTCGCTTGTGATATACATATATTTTATTTTTCGATTTTATTGATTATAATCTATTAGCGGAAACTAAATAAAATTAAATAATATAATTTTTCATTTTCAATATAATGGACGTGAGAATTTCAAGAATTATCGATTAAAATGGATTAGAATATCTCTTTATCTCTAATTTCGAAATTTTACGTCATTATCCAATTTTTTAATTTAAATTTTACTGGGTGATGGTACTGCATGAGTTCAGGACCATTCCTTCATTTACATCAACATGATAACGTTGTGAACGAAGGTTAGGTTTATCGTTTTCTTACTTTTTATTTTTCCTCGTTAATTTAATTTAGAACTTTTCGTATGGCCACCTAATCTAACTTTCGTCTACGTATTCAGACATTTAAGAATCTTTCAGTTTACTGAGATATTTTTTGCAAATAACTTCTCTAACAAGTATTATAGGTAATTTTAAAAACCGACTTCAAAATCGTGCAGATGCCATCACCATATCTTAACCAGATTTATATGGGATCACCCTGAGGTTCCCTCTTACTAACCAAAAAAGATTCATAGAAATCAGACAAGATGGTAAAGAATTATCGCTAAACATACATAAAAAAATAAAGAGTTTGAGGATTTTTTTATGGGCCCAATTATTACAGAGGGAAACAAAAAAATATTTTTTTTTGGTCTGGGATTTTAGAGCTGATTCTAACTATACTTAGGACGCTAAATCTGTATATGCAATCCGTTTTTCTCTATCAGCTCTACTTTTTTAGATACATCAACTTATCTACCAATGTGGTTTTTATTCAGTATATTCATTTATGATAGTTCTAAAATTATTATATATTCATTAATGTAGGTAGGTACAATGGTTTTATTGTCAGTCTGTAATTGAGTAAATTCTAGGTAAATCTATAAATAGTGGAACCATTGCCTATCAGGTACCTGAACTGACCCTTTCAATCCCCACACTCGGGTAAGTCTCGTCAGTTTGTGCGTTCCGGTACGCGACAACTCGGCGATGCAAAGCCGGCGACGGTCAACTCGGCTATGCCAAGTCGGCGATGGCCAACTCGACGATGGTAAACTCGGCGACGATCAACTCGGCGAAAAGGAATACAATAATATAATATGCAATTATTTATTATAATACAATTATTTATTATAATACAATATAATATACAATCTATAAAAAAAATTGATTAGAGAACTTGATTAATAAAATAAAAATATATAAGAGATTTTAAAAGTGGCAATAAAATCAATTAAGGGTTTTAACTACAATTAGGGTTTCTAATACAAATTAAAATATTAAGGGAAAATTTAGAGCTTAAGATTTTTCAATGCAAAATAAAAATAAGATATAATATATTAAAATATTAGGTTATGAAATAAAAAAATTTAAGTAACATATTATATGCTGAAACGGAATTAAAAAATAAAAACTGAAATAAAAAAAGGTTGATTATAGAATATTGTTATTTATTATAATACACATTACAATTATTTATAATACATACAGGGTGATTCACATAAGAACCGACATAGAGCAGGGGCATATAGGGGGTCCCAAAATATGGCAATTTAACGCAACTTACCTCTATACCAAGTTGCTTCCCTAAGGAGTTATAGGCTTTGAAAGTGAAGTTATAAATTTTGAAAAAAAACAATATCTCCGTTATTCTTGAACTTAAAGCAACCAAATTTGGTACACTTTGTGGATGTATTTAGGGCGTTACTTGACTAACTAGAGTTTAATTGAAATTTGTAAAGGGGGTATACTGGGTGGCGCACCATTAATATTCAACAGAATTTTGTTAACCCTTGATGGATTTTAAAAATCTTTGCTTTGTTTTGTGGGCAATTCAATTCTTAAACTTTTCTTACTCTAGTAATTTTTCGAAAAAACTCATCATTTTCATCAAAAACTCGAATAACTTAAAACGCGCGCTCTAGGTGTGTTATTTAAAATCAGCGAAAATTCAAAAGTTGGCTATGAAAATAAACGTCAAACAAGAAAGTAGGTCATTTAATGTGATCAGTAGGAATTGGCTGGCAAATTATTATTTAGATACGTAACAAAATAACTTAAAGTAAGTACAGATACTGAAATGTGAAAAACTGGGATTAACAACTAACCAAAATAAACACAAAAAACTTAAACAACAACCAGAACAAACAATTGTTTATCGATAAATTAAAGAAACTGTTCAAAATGATCGCCGTTTTCTCTTACGCATAAATTTATTCTTCTTCGAAAATTAAAATCCACCCTCTAATAACTGTTGATTATTCCTAATAGATGTGCATTTATGAATAATGCGATTCCATAATTCTTCTTGAGACGCAACGGGCGAAGAATACACAAATTCTTTCAACGTTCCCCACAGAAAGAAGTCACATTTGTTCAGGTCAGGTGATCTTGGGGGCCAACGTTGTGGGCAATTATTTCCTCTTCCTATCCATCTATTGGGATACTGGTGGTTTAAAAAATTTCTTACGTTCATACTAAAATGAGGCGGTGCTCCATCGTGCATAAACCAATGTTGCAACCTTAGTTGTAAAGGTACCTCGTCAAGTAGATACGGAAGGGTGTTTTGTAGAAATTCTAAATAATTTTCACCATTCAGCTGATTCGGTAAAACAACAGGACCAATTAAATATGGATCAATAATTCCCATCCAAACATTAATTTTGAATTCACGTTGGAAATGCCGAGGAGTTATTGCATGTGGGTTTACGTCAGAATACTCATGATAGTTATGGAGATTTGTGATACCTCTGCGAGTGAAAGTCGCCTCATCCGTAAAAAGAATTTTCTTTTGGAAGTTATTATCTTGGTGTAGAATAAACTGACAAAAATTGACACGTTGAACCAAATCTCCGGGTAAAAGTTCTTGGACTTTTTGTACATGATAAGGGTGTAGTAGATTGCGACGGATAACTCCATGCACAGAACTCTGCGATATACCAATTTGTCGAGATAAATTCCTAGTACTAATATGTGGATCATCTTGAATAGCATTTAAAATGGCTACCTCAACTTGTGGCCTGAGTGCGACAGCACGTTCTCGAGTATTATTGAGAAACTTGCCCGTTTCTCTAGCTCGTCTTTCAACATTAGAAAATGTTTCTCTATGGGGAATGATACGGTTAGGAAATCTTCTACGATATTCTTCTACACTTCTTCTACAGTTTCCTTCACAAAAACCTAGCACTTACAGCATGTCAACTTGCTCGTTAAAAGAAAACTTCCCGTTCATTTTAAAAACACTCAAACAACAATTACTTAATTGAACAACTTACTTGCTTCATTGTCAAGTTTGACGTTTATTTTCATAGCCAACTTATGAATTTTCGATGATTTTAAATAACACACCTAGAGCGCGCGTTTTAAGTTATTCGAGTTTTTGATGAAAATGGTGAGTTTTTTCGAAAAATTACTAGAGTAAGAAAAGTTTAAGAATTGAATTGCCCACAAAACAAAGCAAAGATTTTTAAAATCCATCAAGGGTTAACAAAATTCTGTTGAATATTAATGGTGCGCCACCCAGTATACCCCCTTTACAAATTTCAATTAAACTCTAGTTACTGTCAAGTAACGCCCTAAATACATCCACAAAGTGTACCAAATTTGGTTGCTTTAAGTTCAAGAATAACGGAGATATTGATTTTTTTCAAAATTTATAACTTCACTTTCAAAGCCTATAACTCCTTAGGGAAGCAACTTGGTATAGAGGTAAGTTGCGTTAAATTGCCAAATTTTGGGACCCCCTATATGCCCCTGCTCTATGTCGGTTCTTATGTGAATCACCCTGTATATTTATTATAATAAAATATAATATAAAAAAACTAATTCATGTTGTAATTATGTGATATCCCTCTGAGATACTCGATCAAATTTTGCCTGTTATAATTGGCCACTTTATTTAAAATCCTCTCGTCGGCTTCCTCATAACGTTTCCTTTTTGATGCGCCATTGCGCCCGGCAATTGCTCGTTCATAGTCTGCATCGTACGAAGACTGTACCTTTTTTAAATTATCTATGAATGTCCATAACGAAGGATGAGCAATGCCAGAACCAAAAGCCAGTTGCAACTTGCGATGACATGCTTCTGCAAAATTATTTGTCCTATCTCGTCCATTCAATGTTCGAAAATAAACGGACCAAACTGCTGATGGAAAAGTTGCTGGCACTCTGGTTCCATTATTCCTAAGTCAACCGATATAATTGCTGGTAAACCATTCTAAAATTGGTTCTAATATTTCTGGCAACTCATTTTCCAATTCGGCAATGGCCTCAATCACATCCTCTTCTGGAACAAATGCCAATGATGTTACCATTTTTGCTTGTAGTGCAAATTCGGGATCAGTATTGTACATTCCTAGGAGATTGCAAGAAGATAAATGCTTTCGAAGATTTTTGACCAAGTGGAATAAGCATCCTCTAATTTCGGCTTCTGGGAAAACTTGTCTTACGGCCTGGTGAATTGCCAACTCAAAGTCGACACTGATGCTTTCCGGATTTAATTGCGGCCAAAGAACTTTTATCATGTTAAACACATTGAGATATGTTTCTGCACTTTTATTGGGCAGCAAGCAATATAGTACAGGAAAAACTGGACCCTTCTCTTCATGCGTATCTTTTCTTGCCAGAACAACAAATA